TCCTGAAACGAGTTCGCCACGGTATCATCCATGAACAAGCGAAATGACCGGTTTTAATCTATTCGTGGGGACAAAGGTAACCAACACAAATATGACGTAAGGGGAAGCAATGCCTGAAGTTCTGCTCCCGCGTAGAACCTACATGCAGACAACTACCAAGGTGTCTCTATTCGAATTGCAGTTCAGCAGCGTAGAAGTAATTCCATTCGGCACCTTCATAACGAATGAATGCTAGTTTGGACATTCAGCAAAGCATCACTTAGGGTAGGAGACAACCGCAGAATGGAAAGTAACTCTCGTCGATTATGAAATAGACAAAACTACAATGTCATGGATGCAGCTCCTAACTAGAGACCATTCAGTATAGGGGAAGTGTCAAGGTCCGCAACGAAGATCGGCCAGAATATCAGACATCAGGTGCGAGCAAACAAATGGAACTTTCGGAAGTCCCGTAAATTGTAATTGCTAGATTATAAGTAAACTGCAATAATCACATTGGAGCAGTGGAAGTGTGGGCAAAGTAGTCCTACTACTCATGCATTACGAATTGCTGATGCATTACGAACTGCTCATGCATTACGAACTTGCTTGTTACGAGGCATGAGTGGTTGAAGGCAATAAGAGAGGGGAAGTCCGTCGACGTGATATTCATCGATTTCAGTAAAGCGTTCGACAAGGTCAGTCATGAGGTTCTCCTTCACAAACTCAGCATGTGTGGTGTCGGTGGCTCACTGCACCGGTGGATCCGCGACTTGCTTGTTGGACGAAAGTGGAGGGTACAGGTCGACGACCATCTAACTGACTGGTACCCCTCTACAATTGGCGTGCCTCAAGACACTGTGCTGGGGCCTACTCTGTTCCTGATCCACATCAAAGATCTACCGCAGCTTCTCCGGTCGCCGTGTGTCGTGTTTGCGGACGACATGAAGATTTGGCGAGAAATCGACGGTCCCGATGACTGTGGCCTACTTCAGCAAGACCTCAACCGCCTATCCACATGGTCTGCAGAAGTTCTTCTCCCGGTCAACCCAGCCAAGTCTGTATTTATGAGACTGGGGAAGGGTGCTAACGGCCGAAACTACACCCTTGATGGCCAAACGCTATATCCCACACCCTCCGTGAAGGACCTAGGTGTATTCTCACGCTACGATTTGAAGTCCGTGGACAACACGAACAGGCTTTATCGTAACGGACTGCGCATGCTTTGGGCGCTCAAACGTAGCTTCGGCACAAGGTCTGAAGAGGTTGCCACCCGCCTGTTCTCTTCTATCATTAGACCAATGTTAGAGTACGGTTCGCCCGCCTACTTTCCGATTACCCGAGGCGAGGCACAAAAGATCGAACGGGTCCAACATGTTGCTACCAGGCTTATCCCGAGTTTACGTGGCTTTGGGTATGAAGACCGGTGCGAGAAACTAGGACTCTACACCTTATCCTACCGTCGGTTGCGAGTCGACCTCATAATGACCTACCGTATTCTACATCTCGGTGACTTCCCCATGTTAAGGCCAATGCTGCACTTACGAGGGCCATGCAGCACACGCGGACACAGATACAAACTTGTCGTGTCAGATGTGAAATGTGTTCCCCACCCACTGTGCTTCGAACGGAGAGTGGTAAACATTTGGAACAGTTTGCTTGAACATGTGATTGAGGCATCATCTGCGCAACAGTTCAAAAAGTTGTTAGATTTATATTTTGCCACTATTCGATTCAGAGAACGACTGCACACTTACGATGACATATCACATTTGTGAATCCTGAAATATCGTAAGTCGAATATTTTAAATTTTACATGAGAACGACAATGATATTCACGGTTGACAACTTTTATAATGTTTTTCACAATATTTCGAAAGAGTTGTACAGAATCCACTTCTACTTGCTTTATAATACAGTATTCAGTATTCAGTATTCACTACGGTTACGGTATACGATATACAAACAAATGTAAACGGGGGCAACTTCGTAGGCGCGGAAGCCAAGTACCACACGAATAATGGAATGCTATGAATGGAAAAATCAATCGATCGGCCACAGCAACATGAACCTCAGACTGCTCGACGAAAGTCTCACCGAACGAGCTGAGAGTGGAACTTCGGTGAAAAACAATAGTGGTTCTGAGTGAAAGAGAAAAACTACTGGTCGAAAGGCCAATAACTCGGTCGCAGAGATAAAATTGATCCTAAAAACGTTGCGCAGGATAACATTTTCCGTTCTCCAACTTACCCAGCCAAGTTTGTCATGGAACGCTTATGCAATGCATAAGCTTTGACTGTCGCCAGTTGGTAAGTGTCGGTGACAAATTTATCAGTTGGCAAACACTGCTTTTCTTAACGAAACAAACTTGTTCCAGATCGTTGCTTGCCTAGTGTGACTGCTGTCAGGTGATAAATACGTCATCCTCTTAACACATTCGTCTCCTTGCCAAGTGTTAACAACGCAGTCCTCATGATAACCAGGAAACCCAAAGTAGCAATACCAGCCTGTAAAAACCGTCATCATCTTCGACTTCGCTTGTCTTGCTTGGGCAGCAAGCGTTATACGGAAGACAAGCGACTTTTCTCTGTTGAGCTCTCCACTATTATTGCGTGGTCCATGATACTCTCGGTACAGTGAGAAAGAACAATTAACAAACTAAGTCAAGCGAGTGTGTATATCTGTATTCCATCAGACAGTTTTCCGCGCGCGACACAGTCCACCAGTGTCGAATCGTTGTCCTGACTTACAGCGCAGTATCAAAGCGGCGGTGTTACAACAAAACCAATCAAAAGCTTCTTTGTCGGTGCCTCTAGTACTAACCCACCAAGCCATCAAGCAAATCTTGAACCTACGGACAGATCCAGAATGGTCTTAATGCGTCTTATGGAACAGATGATACGGGGATATACAGACAGGAAAGCGTGCTAAGATGGAACGAAAAGACGCACGAATGTGATGGCTAATCAGTTTTCCCTCTGCTGTTACTTTTGGTAAGAGAATATGAAATGTGTGCGTATGTGTGAAGTAGAGCTGGTTTTATCGCTGTTACATAAAGCACAATTTGTAGATTTTTGCGAATCTTCCATGCTAATACAGTATTTACCTGGGATAAATATCAGCCCGTCCGTTTGGCTTCGATTCACAGTTCTACCTTATCTGCCTGACCAGCGCATGCAAATACGCAAACCATCGTGGAGTTCAGCGCTGGGAGCAGGATATTTGGAAAATTCATTCCCGTTATGCTTTATGATAGGATAATTTACTCCCGGTTATTCTCGTACGCTAGCTGTGATAAATTATTATGCGATGCCAAATGTCTTACACAACCGAGTTACGAAATGCAAACTTCCTCATACTAATACCGTCCATGCTAATATCATCCAACCAATTTAGGTATGCAATTCTTGATGGGGAAGGTCTAAACCTGATGATAATTTTTCAGCTGAAGTGAAAGAACAACACTTCGATGGAATAAACTAAATTCAGTTTCTTCGCGCATTCCTGTCAGGTATTTACACACAATTTGACGAAATAACTATGTTGTGTAGAGACAATCAAGAGTAAGGTCATTAGTGAAACGATAACCATCAAAGTTCCTCTAACGTTGGCCTAGCAATCCGCTTAATGGAACCTGGGCACCAGCCTCGACAAAGTAAGGTGAGATTAGCGAGGAACTCGGTCCGTGTATCCAGAGTGGGTTGTAGCCATCTAACTGTCGAAGCTTCAGTATACTGAAGCTGACGGAGGCAGTCTGCTGGATGATTATTTTTTATGGTTTACCTGGCTTTTCACACATGAGACAGTCATATATGGATCCGTGGATGGAACTGCCGGGTAGAATCGGACCAGATTTATCTGGATAAACTCTAAAATCCTTGTAACCGGTCTCCTCTAATTTCGTCCGACGTACTAGCTACGGCAAGTAGAGTGAACCAAGTAAATGCGCCTAAAGTTAACTCGACAGTATGGCTGGTCTAGGCTGGATTTAAACAGCAACATTGTTTAACTTTGGGCTAACCACCATCTCAGCAGCGTACTACCACATGTTATGGATTGAAGTATACGAACACGCGCCAGACGTCCCTAGGAATATGTTCTCATAGCGCTTTGTTTCAAAAGAGACGAAAATGACAAACTGCGGCATCGTTTCCGCCAATCCGCCAATAGGCGGCTCAAACCCACTCTGTATAAACAGACGGAGTTCGTCACCAGTGTTCTCTTGCCTTAATTAAGTTGGTGTCCACGTTCCTCCGAAAAGAATGCTGGGCCAACGTTAGAGGAACTATGACCGCTATCTTTTCACCACGGCCATTCCATCAAATTTTATGTAAACAGCAAACGAGAATACACGAATTAACAGAATTTATATTGGTCTTTCGAATGGTTTTTCTTTCTTACGATTCTGAGATTTGTGAAGGAAAAACAATGCATGAAATTCCATTGAATTATGCTCATTTATATAGGAAGTTTGATTCTGCGAAACGGTGATGCGACTGGACATTGAAGTATTCCGTTCGAACTGTTGCTGTGTTTGCTATAGAATTGGAGGCTGGTAGCTCAGGTTGTTCAGATGGCGGTTGAACTATTCGCTGAGCTCGGCAATTATGTTGCAAAGGTTTCGTCACCAATCGAGGTGACATCATCAGTGTGTAGTTGAGTAGCGTGCAGTAGAATAGATGAGCGTCTCACCGAGGCTGATCTATGCTCCTGCACGCCACTCAAATACACACAGATGATGTCACCTCGATTGGTAACGAAACATTTGCAACAAAATTGCCAAGCCCAGCAAACAGTTCAACCGTCATCTGTTGCAATGTCTTTCATATCAAGAAAAGGAACTGATATAACTTGCCAATGCACCAGGTTTATCCTCGAAAATGTGCCGCTAAATGGGAATGGAAAATTAATCTACAACCGCCTGCTCTTCCAGTCCGTTACTTTTGCTAGTGACATACATATACTGTAATCAAATAAAACCTGTATTTATTTTCTTCAACGAACCTTACTTTCTCGCCCAGACTGCTACCAAGCATTAATTGTTCAGCAAGACCCCCTATTAGTCGTCATTGGCCTCAACAGTCTGGTGTGGTACGAGAACAACCCTCAGGCGAACGAGAGTATTTCTGACCCGTTGGGTCAACTCAGCTGGTTAAGAAGAACGCTTAATGCAGTTCGGGGAATCAAGGCAAAGGTAAATTCACAAATTTCTTACATCTTATCCAATGGGTATGTATTTATATAGTGTGACCAACCTGTAGCTTTGAATGACATTATGGCCTGATTAATGCGCGCGGTAGAGAGTCAACGCGTCCTCACTCCTTCCGGTGCGTTCTTTTATAGACATACATCTTGTATTGTCCAGTAACCTCAATGCTCCATGCGCAAACTTGAAACAATGTCGGAACAGCGAAGAGATTTCATCGTTTCTCGCCCCAACACTGTGCCCTATTATGTGATTTTAAAAGAAATAAATATGTAACCGAGGTCCCGACAGATTTGGCCTGTTGCAATCCAGCAACATGGTAGGAAGACCCAAGTTCAAATTGGTCTTCTCAACCCGTTGCCATGTGTTGAGAGTAGATGGTGGCTAAACAACTTATTTGGTACACTGCCTAGAACAGAATGATAGTTGGTGATAGATGATAAGCATGATAGCATGATTACTTTAATGGATGTCTTCTAAAGGGCCTAATTGTGACTAAATAAATGGGTCAGATTACGTACTATATCAATATTTTTAATAGAACTACTTTATGTATAACAAAAGAAGCCGTAGAACTGCCGGAGGTCATTCCTTTGTTAAAATGGTAATATCGAATTGAGTAACAGTAGCACTTGACTAGAAATTTATTCTGCAAAACAGCCAACTTAAGCATTTGTCTTAGTTACGCGATTTCGTCAGACAAAACTACCACTGGAATACGATGCTTAATTTCGTTGGATGGCGAATACAGCTTTGATATTTACTGGTAGCCACAGTTAAACTGCGACAGCAAATAACACTGAAGCTTACCAATTTCTTTGTCTGTTAATCTAACAGCATTGTGAGACGACGATAAACGTTAGAATGTGCGCAGTTTAGTTGATTTTATTCATGGTATTTATTGCATTGTATTTATTTATTCATTGTATCTTGTTTTACAGGCCATCGTTGCAACTCATATCCCTATCGGCGTTCACGAATTAAACGCAGAAAACAGCGTCTACTTGAAGTGCAGCTACAACGAACAGCTAACGCAGCTTCTTCGCGAATATGCCGACGTGATCATAACTACGCTGGCTTCACACTTACACACTGATACCTTTCGCGTTGTTCTGGACGAAGATTGTAAGTTTATGAACACTAAGATCATATACTTTTAAAATCGCATTTCACAAATGTAGCATATTATGCTTCAGTAGGAGCTTGTCAAGAATTTTGATCGTAGCCCGTACATAGGTCACTTAAATCAACAAACAGTAGCTCTGTAAATAGAAAATAATTAGAAAATTTTGTAGCCAGTCTATCATATGAATAATCACGAGATTAATTTGTAAAGACATGCGACTTGACGGATGACGTGCGGAACATAAACACGCGTTTCGCAGTGACTCACATCGTTCCACCACGTAATCCGTCTTCAATATCCAATCAGGTATCGGGATCACATAAATTTGACATAATTTATACTTTTGGGCATGCTATAAAGTACGCGTCACTTAGACGACCAGAACATGTGGTAACGTATTAACTTGCGTAAATGAGGTTGGTATACGGCGCAGCATTGATAGAAACCATGGGTATCTGATTAAAATACACAACTTCTCTGCTTGATTACCAACTTAGATTCGACCCAATAGACACGTTAATTTAAGTAAGATTCTGGTGCTTAATGGATCATGTATTATTTCTAAACCGTTGGTTCCAATCCGCGACGCAGTGTATGTGATTACATATCATAAGGTCACTCGGTGTACATTACCGTTGACTTCTAGCAGTGAAATACGAGATGAACTCTAACGCTAACTAACCATATAGTAACTGTAACCTTCACCGGTCGACCCTTGAATGACACGTAGCAAAGTATTCCAAAAAGCAGAACAAGGTTTTATCGCAATAACTACGGTACCATTGAATTCCGTACAGTTAAGTACTTCGGGCATACTTCAAATCTTCAGGATTCCGATGTATTACCGTTAGCAGCAAAATGCTCTTACACAACGGAAAAGAAAATTCTGTTGAAACACACACCAAGAGGACAAGTGAGCGTACTATAGATGCTTGGCACAGGTGGTCAACATGAACTGGTGCATGCATAGCCCACGCTACTTACGATCGACTCCACATGTGTGATAAATTTGCACGTCGCAAAATAGATCTGTAAACCGACGGGTTCTACAGTCACTTTCGGCTTCCAAAGCAACAACAGTAGTTGTGTATGAAGTGGGAGATATGAATAAATAAAAAATAATAATAATGTGTCAGCTGTACGCCGTAACGGCGCTTTGCTGCCGCGCGACCACCACCAGTCGCGCGCGGGCTGAGTATACCGCGAGGACGCCCACCCCTACGCGGATTCGAACCGGTGACCTTATGGTTGCAAAGCAAACGTGCAGACCACTCGGCCACCGGCCGAAATATAGTAAGAATGTAATATGGTTACAGTATACCTGTCAACATTTCCCAAACTGACCTGCAAGTCATCGAAATCCACAAAATTTGGAAAATGAGTACACATACCTTTCTAATGTCATAATTATTTTCCACTGGATGAAAAAAGCAGGCGCAGTGGTCTGCTGCTTGGCAGTTGAAATCTAAGAGGAATTTAATTTTTTCCTTACGTTCATGATAACTGCAAGCGTGTCAGTATGTCTGCTATGTGTTGCTTAGGAGCGCACCATATCAATAGTACCCTATGCGTCTGGGAATGGCTACGTTTTCATAACGTCTATAAAATCCTGTTCCTGCTAGTCGTCTGATTCATTATTCACATCTCAGCCGCTAAAATGGATGAGGCTGGCAAGTATAAGATTATTCATATTGTGTTACTGGTTTATACATAAGAATCAACTATATGGCTGTCATGCAGTTAGCATCCAATCATTTACAGTACAAGCTGTCCAAATCAGTAAAAGTACAATGAGACAATCTATGGTCAAATGTCTCAGATTCAGTTTGCATTGCACTCTCATAAACTACTTCTGCAGGAAAAGGAAACCTTGTTTTACAAAAACACTTAGATTGTCGAGTTATCCACCGCCTTCCATGCGGCAGCTATCCAGAGCACAACGTCAAATAAATTTATTCGTTTCATGAGTGCAGTTCCAGACATAAGTTTGTGACATTCCGTGGTGGTAATAGGATGCAGAAGCCAGCCTTTTCCTAAATTTCAAGTCAAGCGCCAAAACTAACGCACAGTTGTTGGGTGGCGGAAATTGCAATTCGACATTATGTAGCTGGCATCTGCGGTGGCAAGTGGCATTGTCGACAACCAGTTTGTTGTTGCCTTTCATTCTGCATTTTCGTCAAGATTTGAAACCAACCTTCGCAAATAACTGCAGTCATACATGCCTATTTATTATTCTTGTAAACTATAGATTTTTATGTGAATGTTTATAAAAATTCGAGGGTTGGCTGATTTCCCAATCTCTAAGACCGGTTCTCGCTACCCCAACATGTTAGTGCACAGCATAACAACGATACGCTCCTTGCTTCTATTCCACCCTGCGCGTTTCTTTCCTTTGACAGAATGGCTTTTACTTGACGTCACTTCGAATAATAAACCAGTTGCAATTAAATATTAATGTCTTCAACTGTGTAGCCGAAACATGTTCCGAGTACTTTCGCTGTCAAGTCAGATGCAGCACACATATTTGTGTCACCCCTTTCGCCTGATTGCTTAGCAAACACAATAATTGTATACTGATGGAAGCATGCAGTTAACCGATTTACGCTTTAAAGTCTGTGCTGTACGATTCTTTTACGAACTGCAATGTTTTTTTCTTAAATCATGGGTCCAAATAATGGGATTTTTCTCGTCAATGCTGACTGGCACCATTTCCAGCAAATTGTGTTTGTGTCTTCGTTACCAGTTTTGCTACTACTCTTTCTTTTCAGTTATGGACCGTTGATTTCAACGCCATTCAAAAATTCAGCTTTTCTCTTTAAAGTTAGGAGGATTTGTGTCTTACCTACCCCTAAATATCCCGCCAATCTTCGGGAACTTTCCTTTAGTGACTTGGTCAAATCATTTCCATTATTTCTTCAAGTGTTAATGCCTTTGGATTTGCTAATTTGGAAACAGCCATTTTGTTCTTCGTAGAAAACTTCAAAAAGGACCAGAAAAACAATACTTGAATATGAAGTAAGGAAGTGCCTCCACAATGCCCGCTCAATGCTGACAAACGACTAGGGTCACAGTAAATTAATCCCACATAAAGTACTAATTACAATAGTTGCGACTGTACAAGAGTATCACAAAACCTATACTTCGAGTTTCTACTCCTACGGCTCTTTTGTTGAACAACATGGCTTTATCCGATTGGTTCATCGTACGGGATACATGCGTTATTTACCTAGGGTGATCTCTCGGGGTTCTAATGTGTCACTGGACATTTCTGGTTAAGGGCAGTGTGACCCATGTGGTGAGAACAAACCAGTGGTATTGATATAGTTATGCAACCTGAACTAATCACTTGCGACAGCGAGGATAGAAACAAGACTATAAGGAATCGAATAAGGAGACCCAAAATGCTTGAACCTGGGCGATAATGAGTCAGTGCAGGACATATGCTGTGGTTTCTGGAGCAATTATGACACCTTGAAATGAAATCTAAGCTATTTGTGACAAACTTTTATGACACTTCAACTCGCAGTTTCGGCCACTTATGCTAGTGTTTGTCAACTTGATCGGGCGCTAAAACTTCTGGGGACCATAAAAGCGTGGTCGCTGTTGCATTAGCCAGGTGGACTCCATAGACAAGCAAAGGCCAATGAGGAAATATCGGAAAATCGTTGGTGATATTTTTGACTAGTCGCCATGGGCAGGTGGTCGTCATAAACCGGTGGTCGCTATAGCAGGTTGGACTGTATTGGCAATGTTCAAGTTCAAGTTCTGGCGGGACTGGAACAATAGAAGTATCCAGTGAGTGTTCCATCTTGAGTGGATCCTTGAGCCAGGAATTGATGAAATGCTCAGAGTTATTAATGTAACTGGACAATCATCGACGGCCCAATTACAGAGTGAGGGATTTACAGCAAGCATACATACAAGTAAGCATGGTGTCGAATTTCATGACTTGTGTGTAACAGGTTGCGTAGAGCAAGTTTGTGTTAACGAAGCGTATTCCGGACTGTAAAATACTAACGAGCGAAGCTCAAAGACTGAACTGCAACAGCAGATATGGCAACGAAGCTCCGATGAGCTAAATACCAGAACGAACCAACGAAGTGGAAACGCGCGTCTTCGGCATCAGGAGAGGAGCAAAAATGTTTCGATACAGGCGTACATAAACAAGCAGTTTCGTTACAGATGATGGTTTTAACATTTGGTTCGTAATGAATGCGATACACATAACGATAGAAAAGAGAATAAAACAGGCACTAGAATAATGTATAGTTTAAACGAACTAGTGCGGTTCCACTTACGTTACAGAGCCTTAGAGAAAGCGGTAACTGTGTAACATTGCCGTGAAGATAGAGACAATATGTAGAGTGCATGGGGCCCTATTACAGACGAAACAAAATCAAATAAGGTGTTCCATCTTTAGGGAGAGAATGAAAGTGAACCACAGGAAAATAGTGTGGGCGTACGGATAATGGTGCAGTTACCTAGCTAAGTACATTTTAGTAGGGTAAGAGAGTGCTCACATCCTCGGGTACTTAGAGGACATGTTATGGTGCATGAGCACCCTCGATGAGAGGTCAGTTGGATAATAAGGAAAGCACAATCCATGTGTCCACCGACAGCAATTTCCAGATGAAATTACCAAATTTGCAATAAAGCACTAAAGTAACGCTAATGCTCCTCGTGCTTATTTGTGGGTAATTGTTACTAAACACTGCAAACCGATATTTTTTACCTGCTGCAAAATAGCATGGATTCGTCAGTTGCTAATTTCGAATGGGCTGTCATTTTTCTCGACTGCAGATAATCCAGTTGGGACCTTATTTCTCGGACCTTCTGTGGATCCGTTTTACATGAAGGGGATTGGATCTTTTAATCCACGCCTCCGTCAGTTTCACTACAACAGAAAAACCGGTGTCCTGTTGGATTATACCCAGTATTATCTTAATTTGAGCGAACGTGCCCCCACATGGCAAAAGGAGTATCAAGCGAGAGAGGAGTACGGCATTCGAAACCTCACAGCACCCTCTATGGCGGACCTACTGGACGAATTTACTGTGGAGAACGACAAGGATGGGCACTGGGGAAAATACTGGAAGCATCATCTTGGTGGTCGCCCTCACGATCCTGTTCAGTACTTTGAGAATGGAGAATGCCCTGAAGCACAGTCCGTATGTCGTTGTCAGCAAGTTTGTGCGATGCGACATTCTGAGTTTACCGAACTGACTCAATGTCTAAGTGTGTGTAACAGCCAGCCGAAACCAATCCAAAAGACAATCAAACAACTGATCCATGATAGACTCAACCCATCTGCGGGCAACAAGATGACATCCATCACGGACTTAGCACTTTACGGATACTTTGTTTTAGCTATGTTGCTATGGATGTCAGTCTAATTAATCGAGGTTGGTCAGAAGGAATCACAACTTGCACCATTCGATTACTGAAAGCACTCAGCCGACTATTCTATTCCGCTATGTCAGATGCTTAACTGCGTGTTTCTCATTGTACTGGTGTCAGGTGCTTAGGACTTTCGGTCACTTTGACAGTCTTATCATGCATAATACTAACACGCTATATGGGTTCTCATCTCCTGTTTATCAAACTTTCTTGTTACTCGTCGCTGCGATTTCGACACCTTAATGTTACTTCAGTAATCATAACCTAGTACCCACTTCTTGTGTACAAGGCTATTCCGAACACATGGTCTACGGAAATTTTCTTCGATCAATACATCAGGACCAGCATGATAATCTGGCTGGTAAAATTTGGAGACGATTGCCTAGCGGAATAACGTATAATGAGCGCGTAATTTTCTTCCGGTACAGAGAGCTAGTCACTTGAGGGGAACACTTGCGATAACACAACAGGGTTAATGAAATGTAGCTTTTTGAAATTCTTATCGCACTCAACCACAATAGACAGTTCACTAGTGGAAAATTTCATTGAAAGATAACGTTGTTGATTCACTGATGCATAATGCGACAAAAAGACGATAGTATAAAACTAATCGCCAAACATTCTTAACAGTTGCACCTACCCAAATGTGAACGTTCGAAAAAATATTTGAGGGTAAGTAAGTCAATGGATGAAATGTCCCACAAGGTGCAGTTCGGAAGAAAGTGTTATATTTACAGCGGAAGACATCATGCATTTCGGTAGGAAAACAGGATAAATATGAACACAACTAAAACAGAGAAATATTGACTGAAACAGTTAGTTACCTTTAGTGATTTGAAAAGCGCAGCAAGAAGACTAAGACTGGCAAATGCACGCATTTGGCATTGTCTCCTAGGTGCATTTAACAATAACTCGCAATAATATTCCGTGAATGGAGCGACCAAACATGGTTGGCGGCATCCGATTTCGAATTTGTCTGTCACTGTGGCCAGCCACAGGACGCCTGCGCCTACAGAGGGACCATGGATGGCTTGCGCTGCACCACCCACAGCTCCAACCACACACCCCATATCCAGTGTAAATCCGAAGAAATAAGCCCGTGAAGCAAGTGGATGGGAGTAACGTTTCATCAACGGAGCGGGCCCAAAATCCTTCACAGGCAAACACAAGCACGCTGTAGTTGGGTGATCAAGCGCACACAAGGCGGTGGCCGGACTGTAGTCCGCTCCAAACTGAGTGCGTGGAACCACTGATACTAACACGGCCAGAAGGACCGTGCACCCCGCCCCCTCCAGCAACGACCAACTGTCTCCTGGAGACAGTATGGACGGGGTAGTGGGTAATAGACAGGTAAGCACCTTGTCAACATGCATATCAAGCGCAGTCACACCGGGGATATCAAGCAACAGCCAATCACCTGGAACAACAAGATGAAATAAAACAAATCCAATAATGCATACAGATACGGTGGCATAACTCTTCGCTACATTAGCACATGAAGTAAGTTGGTTAGCAACGAATCCGCGATAAGGAAAAAGCGCCCACAACTTAGGAAAATGCTACAAAACGCAACAGAGTTATCGAAGATAAGCGCAATTAATGTAAGCAACGTGGCCAGTTAATAGAAGAGTATTCAGGTAGGCAGAACAAATCAAATAAAGTGGGTTGAAATTTAGCCAGCTTAAAAATACCTAGTTTAAGTGTTAGTTGGTTTAGCCCAACTGCGGTGAATAAGCATCAAGAATGCGACATCAGCCTCAGCATGGGGCACACATACATACATGGTTGGCGGCATCCGGTTTCGGATTTGCCTGTCACTGTGGCAAGCCACAGGACGCCTGCGCCTACAGAGGGACCATGGATGGCTTGCGCTGCACCACCCACAGCTCCAACCACACACCCAATATCCAGTGTAAACCCGAAGGAATAAGACCGGGAGGCATGTGGATGGGAACCAGGTTTCATCAACGGAGCCGGCCCACACTCCTTCACAGGCAAACACAGGCACGCTGTATTTGGGAAATCAAGCGCACACAGGGCGGCGGCTGGACCGTAGTCCGCTCCACATTGAGTGCATGGAACCAATCTTCGAGCCTAGCACGGCCACAAGGACCGTGCACCCCGTCCCCTCCAGCAATTTTCGTAACTCATTAACATTCAATATTTGAGCTTCGTTAAAGGAAAGCAATCAAATCCGTATTTTTTCAGCGAAATTTTGAGTCTGCATAATTCAGTTATGTCTGTTTTTTGCGGAATACACGGGGATGGCGCTTTCTGGTATGGAGAAACTGGAGCAATTTTCCAAAGATGTATCTGCGTGAAAACTCATAGGACTGACTTCACTTTGCTTTTTCAGAGATGATAAATGGCTGATTGTTTGGTGGTAGCCCAAATAACGACAAAATTTCACCGTGAAATATTCGTTGTAAAATACTTAACACTTTTGTCTCATAGTTCATCTCAAACTACCGGTTCCAAATGTTCGAGAATCACTGTTGCATTTAGTTGGTACTTGATTTAGCAAACAAATAGCTAATAAATGACTTAAGTTAATCTGCGCATCTCCCGAAAAAACGCTGTATACAGGACACGTTGTACACCACAGTTTTTGCTCTTTGAATTTTCTGGAATTCCTTTATTTGCTGAGCTTCCGAAAAAGTAACCTGGAGGATTATGTGCCGGCGCCGTATACAGGGGAAATGAATAGAATGTTGTATTTAGCATGATTATCATGGCCTGTTCATATTGTCGTTACTAAAAGAGGAGGATCAATGAAATCCCAAACAAATTTACGATACCTTCAGAATGACCTTTGTGGACATTATTATTTACTTTCTTTCTGAGCATTCTTCTTGGGCACTTATTAAAATAAAATAACTCATGGACGGGATCAGCTTCCACTACTCTAGAGACATTTCCTTGGCCATCTTACTCATCTGCCGGCAGGAATTCTTCTAGTTATCAGTTTGAGCCGACTACCTGATAACAATGAACAGCGACAGCAGTAGATCTATTCTTTATAAGCGTACATTACTGCAGTACAATCCCAACGGCCTAAGAGTTAAATGGTAAAAATTCTTATAATAATGCAGATGAAGAAGAGGAATAATGACAGAGGATGGATAAATACCTTATGTAGAACTTGCATATAGCGTTTGATCTGAAAGTGCCTAGGTGCCTACGATCTTTTAAACACGTATCCTTATAAAATCTGATTAATGTGAAGGGACGAGGCACCATCAACCAGACAACACCTCTAGGTTTTCGCTGCTGCTTATTGTAAACATCAAATACTGCGACGAAAATGTAACACAGCCAGACTTTAAACACCCAGTACGATAGAATATTATACCAAACGCGCCACAGGTGCCGACTGTCCTGAATATTATGCGAATCCTAGAGCGAAGCAGATCCAGTCGACTCCAATCAGGAAGCTTTGGAATACTTAAGTTTGCGGTTAACAGTTTTAGCTCCTGCTGCCAACTCATCTTTTGTCTACCTCGAGACTCGCGACATCCAAAATACTGTAAGTAAACCAAGGCTCCCCTCAACTAATGATTATCAGGTAGTCATAGGAGGTGCCCAATGTAATTTAACGTACTCAAGTTTACTAGATATTCTAAGGTACTATAGCACTGCGTCTGCATAGTATGTGTCTGCACACATCATCCTAGCGGACAATCTGAGTACATGCAACGCCATCTATATTTTACAGTTAACGATAAACCTAAGTGAGAAGGCGCTATATGTCCACATACGGAAGAAGCTACGATACAGTAACTTAGAAGCTGTCCGCCCTCATCATGGCCTTGTGCATATGGCATTTCAGACCGAAAGAATTGCATTATGTCACCTCAAAAGCAGATTTGAGGATATATCTTCAGCGTTCACAATATGTGAATTAAATACATATTTTTAACAGTTAGTGGGCTTTGACAAATAAGCACTAGTTGGGTGCTTTGAAAGAATGTGTAACCTAACCACCTCGACAGCGCCTCTCATTTACATTAAGATGTTCGCGATGTCGTTATCCCTTATACAGTTAGCTTCGAATATGACCACACATAACTGAAGAAGATTTGAGAGAGTTTCTTTCTGACCACAAGCACCATGATATTTCATGACGGCTGTTGTACTAAATGTTCCAAACCCAGCTCGGCATGACTTTGTTGAAAAGATCACTGCTTTCTGCAATATCCCTAGCCTAAATATCACAGTAAAAAACTCCTCTGTTTTCAGATTTAGTAACGAACTGATGGTGCGGCGGGGAATCATCTACAGAGGACAAAAATGTCGTTCTGAAACCACTTTGTGAATAACGTTTGTCGGGGTTCGGGTGTCCGGAAATCTATGTTGGTACTGTATTAATGAATGGAATAGCTGATGCTATGTGATCGCAGATCATCCGACTAGTTAAAGGGCGGAAGTTCGACGAATTGTGTACCAGACAATATTTTCGAAGAAGTGGAACCATAGTGAACATACATGGTATACAGAACTCCAGTTATACAATGGCAGATTGCATGTTGCTTAGCGGTGTTTCCTTAAGCAGCTGCAAACGTTTGTGTGCATGTGAATACAACGAATTATCACAATAATTTAAGGTATATCGATGTACTAATCCTAGAGACGGGCATTGAATGCGATCAGTAGAGGGAACTGCAAAGCATTTCCAATTATTTCTATGACTTCTGGGAAGCTCGGGTTATCTCTTGACTCTGACGTGGTAGTTATTCTTGGGTTCAGGTCATAACTTATCAATCCGTTTGAATTGAAGTTTGATTTGTCTGGTTGGAAAGATGATATGGTTAACGAAGAACCTAAAAGTGAATTTGTCAAAAATAGTTTTACCTGTATGATTTACGGCGATAGTAGAATTAGTTATCGGCAGTTGGCTAATCGATAGGGAAATGGTAAGTCTTCACTAAGCATTCTGAGACGATCCAACAAAGCCGCCCGGATAGGGGCAACAATTATTACATTGCCAGCATAGGCCAAGTGGTCTATTGGACCAACGTGACGAGAACATTGTACTGATGTAGGCATATGAATGGTATAATGTGACTTCATGATGAGGGCCAATGGGGAAGCGTGATCGCATTGGCGCATAACTCACCGTGCATAAAAGCCAACCCCGTTTGCCACGAAAACAGGTAAAGCATAGTAGGATAACTAAATGGAAACCTTGCAGCGCCACAAACGAATGCGTATCGGAGCAAAGCATTGTAGCAATGAGTATTTCACTGTGATTAATACTATGTATATCATTAGTCACGTGCATTTTCATGCACACCTGTTGACACCTGTCTATCTCTTCATCTGGTGTTTGTATCGATTAAGGAAACTTGCA